TGGGATGTCCCAAATTGGCTCAGTGAGGAAGGGCCAAGACACCCATTCAAAAGCCACACCTCATTCTATATTGGCCAAAAGTTCGAGTTCCATGTGTTCAAGACACTAGGAGAGCTAAGGTAAACATATATATTTATCTGTGTGGTAGTCTAATAGCATATTTCAGAATCTCGGAGCTCTTCGATATCATTAGTGATATTGAGCCTGATGCGCCTGTGCTGAAAGACCTCAGGGTTCGTCTAGAATATCACCCATCACCTCAAGCCTTCTGACAACAAAATAGGAGTGCTTAATGAGGGTATTAGGACGTACTCCACTCATCCAGAGCTTGCGGACTCAGTACGTTGAATGCATCTCGCTCGATACGTTTCTGATCTCCAACTAGAATATCAAAGCGTCTACTCCATCCCGGTGCTGATACAAGCGACATAATCACATTTTATATTTCAATGATTCGGTGCTTACGGGTCGTCGATCCTCAAGGGGTGATCCTATATCGAGTTGCAGACCCAATTCGGTCCTATCTCAGGTATGTGAACCTCGATAAAGTATGCTTATCTTGAGGATCTCAAATCGTGCAGAGGTCGACCAGATACGATACACCATATAGTCACCCTCCTTATCAATGAAAATAGTGAATTAGCTCAAGAAGACCAAGCTCCTATTGTACCGGAAATGGAGCACGAAGATTATTCTGACCCTAAATGGATACCCGAACCCAGAGATGCTGGACCGAGTAAGCAGGCTTCTACGTCATGGAACTATCTTAAACCATTACTACAGAGTTTAGAACGCTGCGGCCTGCAGACCTTATCAGTACTCTGGTCAGCATATATGACTCGCACGACTTATTCATCAAGGAGCTTCAAAACTTGTTTGCAAACATACTGCTACAAACGCGAGAAGGAGACTTCGATGCTGAGGCACGTATTGGGATAGTACCTAGACATGATTCTAATATCCTCATAGAAACGGCAAATCGAAATATTGAAACTTCGCTTTGGTGATGCGGCACTTCAAGCACCGGATGTCATGCTATCCGACATGCAGGCTTCGTCGAGGCTGAGTCGCCAAGTTGATGAGACTTCAGAGGTAAGGATAATACAGCGGGTGATTAATATCTCATTTTTCTTCAGGCTGTTATCAAAGCTGCTGTGGTTTCACGATGGTTCTGGCCTGATCCTCCGGAGCTGGACAAGTTCAAGATGCCCGGACAATTTGCTAGGTTAGTAGTTTCTCCGGAAATGACCACAACGCTCATCACCCTTCCCTAAGATTGCAAGAAGAATTTGGTAAGAAATATGAACAAATCAAACCGGATAAGAGGTTACATTGGGTTCATCAAATGGGTACACTTAAATTGGCAATCGAACTGAAGGACCGCACCGTTGAAGTGACCGCCACACCTTTAGAAGCCGCAGTCATTGAGCTATTCTCGGAAAAGTGTGAGAATGATGCACTCCGTTAAATTCTTTCTCATGCCCTTTTAGCAACATGGTCACAAATCGCATTGAGCGAAGCCCTTGGCGTGAAGGAGCAAACAGTAATCGGCGCTCTAATATCATGGAACGAAGAAGGGATCTTAGAATATAATGAATATCAGAAGATGTGGGTTTTAGTGGAGGAAGGCGATGCCTCTCGAACTAAGAATGGTACGTACCTAGGATTCGAGTAGATGCGCGGAAGCTAACCACGGTAAAGTTGTAATGCAACAAACAGATGTAATAAAACAATCAACTGAAGATGCCTTTGACAGCCGTGATCAACAAGACTGGCTGGTAATTACCTCCTTTCTTAATCTGGACGGTTGCTGACTCCAGATAGCATATCAAGAGGGCTCTAACAAATTTTGGAGGAGGACTTTCAACCTCTCGTATTCATAGCCTTCTCAAGTATAGCCCTAACCCCAAGACCATGCCACAGTTGGAAGCTCTTCTCGAACGACTGCAGGCGGAGCACCTCATCGAAGGTATAGAAGGAGTGTGGAGATTGGTATAATATTTCGTATGTTCTTAGAATTATACTCGTGTATTTTTGTGGTACATTGTATCATAGGACTCTCTAGTCTAGTAAGCGGTTCTAAATCCCAGCTCTAAACTTGGCGCTCAAGCTTGACCCATCCTTTCCAGACATTACTGCCTTGACTTGATTGCAATGACCACAAAAAGACACTCATATAGCCTTGGAGGGACTGTTGGAACGACATTCGTGAACCACTTCAACCCCCAAAACCCCCAATGTATAGGGCATGCTCCCATGCTCCCGCCACACTGGGATCCGCATCAATCCGTCGAGCATAATATTCGGGTAATTACCCAGGAAAATAGACTTCAGACCATACAATGTCAGCAGCAGATTAAAGAAATGCAATTGCTGATAGCCGATTTAATGAAGAGAGTCGAAGAATCAGAGGCGCGAACCTTCAGGCAGCTATCTGCCCTTGCGTCGGAAATCGGAAAGAGAACAGACGATATTGGCCACATCCGCCAACAACTTCGAAGTTCTAGTGCAGACTGGTGGTGCACCTCGGCCGCCTCTACACCTGCCTCGAGGACAATAAATATCGAAACTCCTTCCCCCACCACCACCGTCTTTTCTGACCCGTCATTGGAGCAATCGGACATAGATGATAAATGGGATGTCCCAAATTGGCTCAGTGAGGAAGGGCCAAGACACCCATTCAAAAGCCACACCTCATTCTATATTGGCCAGTCAAATGAAATGGGAGAGAAAACCAAAGGTTCGACGGGAGAGGAGATGACCCCCAGTATGCTTCACGAGCTACCGGAGAAGCACGACTTGGACGAAATCGTGCATTCTCCATATGGTCCGGCCAACCTCGAAGCATTTTTGACGGCAGAGCAAAATGAAAAGCTGATGATTCGCCGGATAGACGACGATGATCATACAATGCGGTTCATCTCCGACGATTGCGACCGGTATCCCATCGTTCTAGGTGGCCTAAACGAGCCTATCATTGAGGGGAGATTTCGAGATGAAAAAGACGTGCATCAAGCTTCGATATTCCGGTCAAGGAGATGGGGTACTCACACGAATCTACTCCTTCGTCGTTTACCAAGTCGCGAAAATTTGCTACCGGATGATTCTTTACTGCTCCCTGCTCATATTTTACAACAACGTCGCAAGACGTGGTACCTCACATATCGCATATGGTACCGCTTTGTCACGACAGTGGGACCTTCTCGTTTCCCTGGTCTACTTGATGCCAGCTGGGAAGATATATTGGGCGCCCCGCCTGAAGATACCAGAGCCGCTTTTGCTGATGCACTTCAGCAATACATGGGATATACAGGCACAAAGCCGTCTGGACCTCCCTCGGACCAGAACGCCAAGGGCCGTCGACTGGATAGCTTGATTCCGTATTTGCTCGATGCATTCGATAACGCTGTGAAGAACCCGTGGCATCACCGTGGAACGCTGAGCGACTTGATTGTGGATTTGGATGACTTTGCAGTACAGAGGGAGCTGGAAGCGATCGACTCGGCGTATTTATGGCGAGGTGTCCTCACGAATACATTTCCAAAACTTTGCTTGAAGCACATCAAGATGGGCTCGGTGGGTGGAAGTGACCCACGGTGGCCCGTAGTCCAGGTAGAGTATTCTGAAAGATTGGTTAGGAGGCGTCAACTGTGGAGTGCAATTGCACAATACCGCTTCCCTCAAGACTCTTACCTCCCCAATGGGAAAGTTGGTACTCCACTCGATCGGGGCATCCAATTGAAGCAATTGGTACACGAGAGTATTTACTTTGCTCATATCATGAAGAGTTGGAAGGACGGGGTCGTCGGTGTGAAGAATCGGATTCTTCCTCAGCTGGAAACCTTTGGGCAACGAAACAAGCCCTTGGAGGAATCTGAATTGGAGGGTTGGATGCAGTTGGTCTCATCTCTTCATGCCTTTTATGCATCCAAAGTCATACATTCTTCACCAAGTAAGGCTTCTCATCAAATGGAAGGGAGTTGACTGAACATTACGATAGATATCACACCTAACCCTCTTTTTGCCACTCCAAGTAAACAACCAAATCACAATATGGTTCGAGGGAATTTATCAAAGTAACATTGCGGGGCATTACATCTACAAGTGGATATAATTCATTGGGAATATATTTATATTCTTATATGCGATCGTCATAACCTTGTTTGCTAATAGATCAACGGTAACCCAAGGGCCAAAATAAAGATATGCTATCAAGGAAACCTTTAAAGTACTGGTGCTATCTATTTGGGTTTTGTGAGGTGCACGGTGGCTCCCGTTCCTTGGTATGGACACAACGGTTGCAACAGGGCCATTTCTGCAACTCTCGAAACTATCACAACTCAAAAATCAAGTCGAATTTCTCAAAGATCAAAGAATACCCGTTTATGTCTAGTACCACGGACGAAGAATCTTACGCAAATTTTCATCTTCAAAGCCAGAGCTAATAGCGCGCTTTCAGTCGTTAAACGTAACTCAAGAGTGTTATATATAGACTCTATGAGGTCATTCAATCAATTTTATCAACTCATGTCTTGTCTCTGCGATTAGTATTCAGAGGACGACGGTCCCTTTCTCATTCCTACTTCTGCCGCTCCTAATTGCAGACAAAGGGTTGTATAGAGCGCGAGAACAGGGTGCCTCCATCGTTCAAACGAGCCTTGATGGTTAGTGAATGAAGATACGCTTCTTCTCATCAATGTCCCGTCGGCCACCTCTAGCTATAAGGTGCCGGCCTCTTCAAATACACCCGGAACAACTGCTATCATTACTGCGTCTATTCTTTCCTCATATCAAGAGGTGCGCCGATCGGGATTCTTTCCACATATGGTGCGAATGTGCAGGTACGTGGTGAAAGCGAGGTTACATTGTCTGCGCCTGAAGACGGCTTGTACAGATGATAAGCAGAGTTCCTGTATACGAGGATGTCGCCAAAGGAAACGACTCCAGAGATAGGGTTCAGATGTCTAGTCAACAGCAGACGGCCATCAATTCCTTACAGTCAAAGGGACGCAAACCAACTCGCAAAGCCTAAAATCCCGTGCCCTCCGATAGAAATCTGGGACTTGAGTGTGCGTCAATCTCGTGGAATTCTCGCGCTCTCACCACTTTTTGTTCACCGAAGAGTCTGCAGCGCCACAGCTCAAAATAGCACCCATAGACTCGCTGAAATTAGCTGGACGATGTCGTGCATATAAGGTGGGACCAAATTTCTGTCTTACCACTTCCCAGTCTTGAGCTTCCAGTTACACATACCATGTACTCTATCGCTACTTTCCTGCAGTACGCCACTCTACTCTTCCTCGGCACAGGGGTTAGTCTCGCATCTATCGATGCACGCGCGACTTGTAAAGTGGGTACCTACGGACCATTCAAGCTCTACGCATCATCATCAGGCCCAGACGGCACTTCACTCCTCCATCTCGTCGACATGACTGTTGACGACAACAATAATACCATCTCCACGCTCACGGTAGGCCTAAATCTAGCAAAAAGAGTTGACCGCTTAACTGAACGTCATATAACTTTTAGACTTGCGATACCTGTGGCAAGACTCCTGTCCACTGGGTTCTAAAGGATTCAGTCCTAAGCCCCGTCTTCTCGCCACCAGCTGCCCGCCAATTCGTCGACTTGACTCTTCCATATGGAAAAGTGAATTTCATTAATGACAAGCGGCAAGGTGCACCTATTTACTGCGCCGAGGTAGGGTCTTTCTCTGAATGATGAATGTTACGACCGAGCTAAATGAGGCTTCACAATAGAAAAATTCGACTTCGAGCAGCGCTGTGCCTAGAATCCTTTCTGCTAATGGCCATGCTGACCTTTTCTCTATCTGTAGCTTTATTGGCACACCAGGTCCCGCTCATCGTAGGGATGTATATTATAATCAAACTTCTTCTGGTATTGCGACCAATTGCCAACCTGCTCAATTGACCATAGAGCTAGTGTAGTCGTATAATAATGCAAAGTATTGAATAGTATACCAGATCAGTGATGAATACAAGGGCTTTGTAGCCATTATCGATGCCAGAGCAAGGCGTTTGGGACAAGGAGTATCGTCCATTAGAGAATCATCGTGTGAACTTATCTGAGTGGGGTACTCTCAAGTCCAGAGGGTGGCGGGTGGTCATCACTTCTTGACTCGTGCCGATGCTCGCGACAGGAAAATTCTACGCCCATAGCTCACCATCACGTCAAAAGTCATCGATTAATTCAAAGGATGCATCAAATTTGGCTCATATGTCGTCGTGGACCAGTATACGGCAGCTTCGTTATCATCTGTGCTTCACTTCACTCTGTATGGTCTATAGGCCCTATGAGACCATGAAATTCGAATACGCATTGCCTTTCAAATGTACAAGGGATCAAATTGGAGAATCTGAAAAGCCATTAGCTTCTGAAATATTGAGATGCGCACGCCTTGGTCCCTGCCAAGATCGCAACAGGACAATCCTAGTGTGGTTCTCCCATCGAGATATCAGAAAGCGCCAGAATATGAGTGCTTGTTTGAAGATCTACTACGACTACTCCCCACTTACTGTAGCTTCTCCATCTCAAAGAACTCCTTATGCGCGCGTCATGCATTCTATAGGCGCTATAAAGCTGTAAACTGAGGTCGAACAATCAAGAACATCTCAAAAGCTGCGGATCACACAGAAACTACGGCCTCTGAAGAGCCGCCGTCCTCCGTTTTGCCGGCGATGATCTTCTGGACTTCTCAAGACAAACGCCCCTCGAGTAAGATCGAAGACCAATAGGATACTTCGGCATCTTCTCGCCGATACACTCAAACCCTGAGCTTCTCTATCTTCTATCTACTGTCGAAGGTGAGTAATCTAGTAGCCGGTATATGCCTTCGTTTACCATGCATGATTCCCTTTTCGATGATCGGTAATATCTCGTGTGTACAAAATATTACAGAAGCCTGCCCAAAAACATGCATGGTGGTTTTACCCATCCACACCCGGACTGTACATTGATGGGCAAGAAATGCATTCCCAACACCATTTGTCACCCGAATACAGCGAATAAAGTTCAATAAGCATCAACCTCGAGTAATTTTCGCCCTCTCATACCGCATTTCGTCGACTTGTAAAGGTAACATCAGGGTCTTTACTGAATTTAGATGCCCTAATCTTGTCGGTATATAACTCTCACCTCACAATCTTCAGGATGGGTACTGGACCACGATCTTTATACCATGCAACCTGTCTCTACTCTCCTTTCTTATGCAATTCTGTTTATCTCGTT